CACACACATGTGTTGATATGATTTGGCTGTGTCCCCACCCAAATCTCATCTTGAATTGTAGCTCCTATAATTCCCATGTGTTGTAGGAGGGACCCGGTGGGAGATAATTGAATCATGGGAGCAGTTTCCCACATACTGTTCTTGTGGTAGTGAGTTAGTCTAATGAGATCTGATGGTTTTATAAGGGGTTTCTCTTTCACTTGGTTCTCATTCTCTCTCTCCTGCCGCCATGTAAGACATGCCTTTTGCCTTCCACCGTGATTGTGAGGCCTCCCCAGCCCATGGAACTGTGAGTCCATTAAACCTCTTTTTCTTTATGAATTACCCAGTCATAGGTATGTCTTTATCAGCAGCATGAAGACAGACTAATACACATGTCAAAAAAAATTCAGGGACATGTAAACTCATTTCAAAAATAAAAGTCCATCTTACAAGATTAAATCTACCTTCTATAAAATTTGACTATTCAACTGATCTATACTTCCTGTAAGTAGTAACATCATTAACAAACATCTTATGTTTGAGGGGAATTAAGTAATGATCATGCAAATACACAAGCTTTAAAATTTGACTCTCCAATAACACTCCATAGAGTGGGCAGAAGAGCTTTTAATATTCCTACTTTAAAAATTTGGTAGCTGAGAATGAAAGTGAATGTGTGGATATCCAGATTCCACTGCTGATCCTCTATTAAGATGCTGTTATATATGTTATTATGAATTTTAATTTAAAACAAAATGCCAGGGTAATAATATTTAAGGAGATGAAGATAAGTCTGCATGGCTTTTTAAATCTACTTTCTGGATATGCCTTACATACTTCAAAGGAGAGAAATACTTCTCATAAAAGGATAGTTTTTGATAATTATAAAAAGCAAATGTAAATAGAAATAAATTGCTATTAACATATAAAGACCTTATCTCATCTTCCTGTAGTATTTTATTTTTATATTTAGAGTGAGGGGGAGGTCATCCACAATAGCAGATGTACATACGTTAGTCAAAGATATTTTGTAACTATCTTCTTCTTTGATTTCTCCCCTGTCTATTATAATGAGGAAGTTGAGATATTGAATCACTTCATGGCATAAAGCTGAGTCATAAAAACTAAACTTTTAAAATAAACATAGGGAAGTGTGGAAAATAAATTATAGCATTTATTGAATCCTTGCTATACAGAATAACTGAGATAAACTATTGACACATGCTATCTGATTTAATATTTAAAATATTTTCTGGTTTTTCTTACTGGCACCTAATACAAATAGCACCTGCATGTACTTGTTAATGTGAATTTAATGCCTTGGCAATTTATATCAAGTATCAAAACAAGGGGAGTCAAAGCCCGATTTTTGCTTACATCAACGAGGTTACAAACATCATCAATGACCCTCAAACCTCTGAGATATATCTGCCTTCATGAGTTGACCAACACTCCCAGAAACTGTCTCATCAAAAAACAGAAAGCAAGTGACCATTGAGTCCATGTTGGTTTCTTGCATCCAGACTGTGTTATGTCACATTTTAAGATAAAAATATATGTACATAGATACATGATAGATAGATAGATGATAGATAGATAGATAGATAGATAGATAGATAGATAGATAGATAGATAGATAGATAGATAGATAGATAGATAGATAGACAGAATAGACAGAAAGACAGACAGATAGATAGATAGAGTGAGTACTCAGAAGAAGACTTTAGAACTGTCTCTAAGATTCTATCATTATGTAGAGTAAATGTATACCTTTTTACAAATTTTAAATAAAAGAAAAAGATCTTTCCATAAATTCCAAAATATGACATATAATGGTCTTCAGCAGGCAAAAGAGATTTGGAAAGAGGTTTCTGAAGCCTTTTTTTTTTTTCTCCAGAATTAGAGGTAAGAGTGGCAAAACCTACAAAATGTAGGTAAGTAAATCTACTGAATGGTCTCCAAATGTATGTATAGCCAAAGGAATGAATAACTTGTCCTTCCTTGCATAATGACTTTTCTTTTGCTCCAATACCTTTCTTATTTCTGACTTCATTCTGTTGGTTTTAAAAATGTGGACAGCTTTTAAGTGTAGCTTTATACATTAAAGATTGGATATTATCAGTTGTTGGACAGGTATGGTGTGCCATACAATGTTTTATGTGATTTGCAAACATAATCTCATTTAAGTAAGGTAGTCCTTCTTTTCCAAGCTTTACAGATGATGAAAATATGGTTCAGAAAAAAATTAAGCCACTTGCTTAGATTCCCACAGTTAGAGTTCAGATTTGAATCCAGGTCTTTCTGATTCTAAAATTTGAATTCTACCCATTGTGTTACACTGCTTCACAGAGATTCATCTGAATATGCTGTACTGTGTCTTGGGATGCATTTTTATCTATAGGTAATATTTAATGTAGCAGCATTTTTCCATATGTATTCCATGGATGGCACTTATTTTTAATAGGCTTTATTTTTTAAGCTGTTTTATGTTTACCAAAAAATTGAACAGGAAGTACTGAGAGTTCCCATCTATCCCCTCCCTACCTGTTATCCTCCTATCATCAACATCTTGCATTACTGTGGTATATTGGTTACAATTAACGAGCCAATACTGATACTTTCATCAAAGTTTTGTGGTTTTCTTCATATAGAACTTGTAGATATTTTGTTAGATTTATATCAAAGTATGTCATTTTGTTGTTGTTGGTAATGTAAATGGCATTGTGTTTTTTAGTTCAAATTCCAATGTTCATTTCTGGTATATAGAAAGCAAATGATTTTTGTATATTAAGCTTGTATCCTGCAATATCACCATGTTATTTATTGGAATGCCACTTTTTAATATTATTAAACATTCTTATATGATGATCTCAAAATGCCCATAAGGTGACAAGTTGCCTTATTATAAAAGACCCTCTGCTCTTTAATTCTAAAAAGTATATTCTAGATTTGAGATTAAAATTATTTCATTCATCTGTCTTCATATAGAATATTTAGTCATCTGGGGGATATCTATGAAGAATTCATAAGTTACTTTTAATTGAACATTATTATGCTTTTCCAAACTACAGTGTGTAATTAGAAACAAAGAAATTGTATTTAAGTATTACAGATTATGAATCTGCATGGGTGAATATGCTTCTGGAAGAACTGGTAACAAAAATGCTTTTTTCCATTGCTCACAAAATATATGTCCCGAGGCACTCTCGTGTTTTTCTGGCCACATATATGTGACATAAGCTCCTGTTGGGACGGTTTCCCACCACAGGAATGCATTTCAGGGCACACAGTGGATGCAGCAGGTCAGGGCTGCTGGACCATGGGACCAGTATGATCAGAAGGGCCCTGAACAAGTCGTGAAAAAGTAAAAACTTCTTGTGCCATCCCGTGTAGGTTGACAACAACAAAAAAGTGATAGGTATACAGTGTATCTTTATAAAATAAGATCAGGCTGGGCGCAGTGGCTCACGCCTGTAATCCCAACACCTTGGGAGGCCGAGGCGTGCGGATCACTAGATCAGGAGATTGAGACCATCCTGGCTAACATGGTGAAATCCTGTCTCTATTAAAAATACAAAAAATTAGCCAGGCATGGTGGCCATGCCTGTAGTCCCAGCTACTTGGGAGGCTGAGGCAGGAGAATCACTTGAACCCGGGAGGCAGAAGTTGCAGTGAGCTGAGATCATGCCACTTCACTCCAGTCTGGGCAACAGAGCGAGACTCCATCTCAAAAAATAATAATAATAAATAAATAAGATCAACAAAATATGACAGGTACGAAGATCACTGTATAACTATCACTTTTTTGTTGTCGACCTACATGGGATGGCCCAACACTTTTTTGTTGTTGTTGACGTACATGGGACCACACAATTATCAACATGGAAATAGAAAAGCTATCCAAAATGTACTTCAATATCACATACAGTGTATATTTATCACTTTTTTAAAAGCTTGGGACAGTGTGTAAAATTACTTTTGTTGATAGAGGTTCATTTCTCAGTGTAAAAACTGTCAAACCTAGACAAGACACTCTACTTTGAATGCAAAGTAAATTTCTAAAAAGTACTTATCCTCTTTTAGATTTAGGTAATTATTTAGAAGTGTGAGAGCATGAATAAAGATATGACATGAACAAGACACTTTCTTATAATAATCTAATTCAAGAAATAGTACAAACATATATGAACGAATAAATTATCAAGGTCAATTTAATGTAGCAGAAACTGAGACTGCCAAATGAATATATAAGAGAGTCAGCCACAAAGGATCACAAAAGTCTACATGATCATAGTTATCAATTTGGAAACAGAAAATCTATTTAAAATGTACTTATACATCATATTAATCTTCCATACACTTTGGAGAGGTGGAGTTTCATTGTTGCTGTTGTAAATAGTGTTTTTGTTGAATAACCCATTCTCTAGGAAGCCCATAATGAAATTAACTCTGACTCCCTCCTTCTTCCCACACTGTCCCATAACCTCTTCCTCCTCCAGCAAGACTCAGAAGGAAGATGATTGTTTACAAGGGAAGGTAAATTAGTTTATGTTACTCCCAGATCTTGTTACACCATGAATTCATATAATAAACATAGCTTCTAGAATTTTAACTTCCATTTGTTATATTATCAATTCAGACCCCCCAAAATTAAATTTCTTTGAATATCTAATTTTAATAGGTTAGATGCTTTCTGCCAATTTTTCTCTGTAATGCAAACCTAATGTGATAATGAAAACCAATAACAAAATCAGAGGCTTCCTAGACAGTAGCCCATCTTCATTTCCAAGTTAAAGATTTTGGTTGAAACTATTTGCAAGCATATAATAATAATTCCTGTGCAAGAGAGTCTCTATTGAATGATATGTACTCTGAAGACAGTATGAAGGAAAGAGGCTCTTCGGAAGATCCAAGCTGGCTGCCAAGCTTCCATATCCACTTCAAAGTTTCCTGTAATATTAAATGTTTGGCCTTCACAGAAGACATTTCCAAAGACAACATATACATTAAAACCATACCTTGGGATAGTCAGGGCTGGAGGCTCCCAAACTTGTATATGAAACATGACATAACAGAAAGAGCAGGCTATTTGGAGGGAGAAGGTTGAGTTCAAGTCCAAGCCCTCAATCTCTTTGACATTGCAAACAGGGTCATCACTTAACTTCTATGGGTCCAGTTCACACGTCTGCCTTACCTTTCTCGAAAACAGTTTTGTTTGTCAAATAAAATGATGTGAAGGTAAGGACAAAAGAAGACATTGGTAAGATATTCAAGAGGTTAAAAGAGGATGTGGTAAATGATTGCCATATACCTCCCTCCTCTTTCTTCTCTTGGTTTTAACTGCTCAGCAAAATATTTAGTGAGTGCCTGCTAAGTTTCAGTGATAAGCCCTGGAGATACAGAGGGGGAATAAAATGACATGGTCCCTGACCTGAAGTAGTCAAGAAGTGACATTATCTGACTTTGGTTTTATAAGGATCACTGTGGTTACTATGTTGAGCATACATGACAGGCAGATGAAGATGCAAGCAGAGATACTTGGTTTATACACTACTGTATCATTTCAGGCAAAAAAAAAAATGATAGTGGCTTGTATACGGGTGGTAGTAGTGGAAGTACTGATAATTCAACTAAGATGAGGACTGATAACTAGGTTTTGGATTTAACATAGCAAAAAGATATTCGATGTGCTTGCAGCACAGACAAAGTTTAATGAAAGCTAGGAGATCAACAGAGGGTTACTCATAAGAGAATGAAAATTCCATGAGGCATATTGGAAAGAATTGGAAGGCAGGTCAACAGGAGATGGAAGAATAGGAGAGAAACATGCACCAGGTATAGAGAAGTTTGCTTCTGGGGCAATAGATAAACACTTGACAGTCATGCATGCACAGAATTCTGTGTGGTTGGCCCAACAAGGGTGTGGTGCCTCAGGGTAGAATTCATCCCAAGTATGTGAGGAGACAATCTTCTGCCTCCATGGTTGCTCACTTTCATGCAAAACCAGCTGTTACCCATTTGGTTAGGGAACTGAAATAAACATAGTGGAACTGAAGAGGATTGGAGTAGAGTAGCAGAGTCCTAGCCCTTGAATAGAATTTTTGCCAAGTAATTGATGAGAGTGGGGATGAGCACAATTATACCTATTATTTATTGGGTACATACTCTGTGTCTGCCATACTTAATCTTCACCACAGAAAATTTAAAGATATGTGTATTGACTAATACACATTAGAATGGACTATTCTCATGCTGCTATAAAGGACTGCCCAAGGTTGGGTAGTTTATAAAGGAAAGAGGTTTAACTGACTCACAGTTCTGCAGAGCTGGGGAGGCCTCAGGAAACTTACAATCATGGCAGAAGGGGAAGAAGCAAACATGTCCTTCTTCACGTGGCAGCAGGAAGGAGAAGAATGCAAGTCAAGTGAAGGGGGAATCTCCTTGTAAAACCACATGATCTCATGAGAACTTACTATCACAAGAATAGCATGGGGGAAACTGACCCCACGATTCAATTATCTCTGACCAGGTCCCTTCCAACACACATGGGGATTATGGGAACTACGATTTAAGATGAGATTTGGGTGGAGACACAACCAAATCATATCATATGTTATCATCTCATTCTAAAAATGAGAAAAGAACAGCTCAGAAAAATTAAGTAATGTACCTCATCTACCCATCTTCGCACAGTTAAGGGACAGCATTAGGATTTGAATCTCTCCCTCTTTCCATATTACGCTTTAAAGAGCCAAGGAAACAAATCACATTTCAGAAGACAAGGAGTTGGGATTCGTTGGAAACACATTGGTAACACTGGAGAGAAGGGACTGAAATAGTCTGTATAAGAAACAGAACTGAAATAGGGTCAGTTGAGGTTTTTGGCCTTCCAAACCTGTCCTTGTAGCTTATTCAGGTGCAGGCCTTGGTTGTTGGTGGCTCCTGGGCTGCCCCATGGCGCCTATGAAAAAATGGAAAGGAACAGTTACTTTCTAATTTTTCCAATCTAAAAGAAGTAGTTATTATTTTAGATAACTTTCCAAGTGTTGGTATAAGTGAATAGTTTTCTTTAATTCAGACTATCTGATAAACTGTTACCTTTCCAAATTCTCACCCTTTCAAGTCTGACAAGAATAAAAACTGTTGATACCATGCATCACCATCACCAGAGCTTCCTTACTTTTTACCAGCAGCTGAACACACCATGGGGCTGAGGAAAGTACAGAATTGTTGCCAAGTGCAGGTAGAACTTGTGAACCTCGCATGCTCAAAACCATGAATAATAAATACAAGAGTCAGAGGACTTCTTTTTGGCCAGGATTTAACTCTTTAGGAATATATTCTTCAAAATATTTAGGGACATGTTGCTTATTATATATTTTTATCTTGGTTCAAAGCTTTCATTCCTAATGACCATCCCTGTTATAATTTCACACAAAGGTGACATATATATAACTTTGATGACATGCTCCAAGAATCAAAAAGCCAGAGAAATGGCAACGTAATTATATTTGCTCAATATCCAGTACTATCCCAACTCACAGCTCTAAGAGGGCATGCTTCCTTGTTTGTTTTACTGTTGAAGGTAGTCAGCACTATTACAAGTTTCAGCATATAAATTACTAGAACATAAAGATCCACCGTATTTAACTTTGGCTTCATGTACTGAGGGTTATTAATATTTGATGATGTAGATTTGAATGGTACTGAAATTATTCCCTAAGCTTGGAGCAGCAGTGTTTGATTTCCTTCATTTTTCTGGTGGTTTTTTTTTTTTTCAATTTAATGAAGACCATGAAAATTGATAAAACACTAGAATTTAGTCTTTACATTTTTTTTAAAGAAAAACACATTAGGGGACATAAATAAACTATGACACAAATAAACTTATTTTTATCAAGTGACCTGACTTGGGCGTACAGTTTCAATTTCAAATATTCTCTCCCATTGTTTCCATTTTTTCACATCAGATTGTCATAATATACATCCTAGTTCTGAATTCAGATAATATAGATATCAGAGTATGGGTTAAAAGTGCCACTGATTTGGAATCAGACAAGTTAAAAAATTCTCGTTTAAGCTCTGCTACTGATTTCTGTGTGACCTTGAAAAGGGGACTTAACATTTCTAAGCTTAATATTTCCTTGCTCACAAAGTGATACAACTAGTCTAGGTGACCTCAAAATTCCATTCTATTCTAAAATCTTATGCATATGTAATATTTTATAGGAAAATAGTGTATAAATATTATTTCTATGATTAAAGATGTATAACCTATTATTTTAGAACATAACATGTCCAACTCTCACTGGTTTGCTTTTTCAAAATATATTATTTTCATTCCAGTTTAATTCATGACTTTTTCCCAAGTTAAGTCTTGAATTGTTTCTACTATATAATATGGTTTCAGATTTTTTAACATACGGTGCAGAAAGTTTGCTCTACAGCAAAATGTAGATGAGAAAGATAATATTCCTCAGACATAGATAGTTCTGAAGCTCATCCAAGTAGACAGGTAAAATAAACCTTGGGTGAAGAAAACTGACATTTAAAATTGGTAAAGATACAAGTATTTTTGCAGAAATAACATCTTATACTTTCACAGCAATCTGCCTCCTTTTCTTTCTCCCAAACACAAGAAAAAGGCATTTCAAGTTACTGATTAGCTTAAACATACTGATCTTTGGCTCGTCTAAGGTCCATGAAAGTTGACTAAACATTCTTCTACCAAAGAGAAAAACTAGAAAATTGAACACATTTTTTAAAAAATTATATTATCTGTTATCCTGATATATCAACCCAAAACCTCATTTGGTTGGGCTATGTTTTTATTTATTCTTTTTGCCAGATAAATTGGGAACTTCTAAAGGAATTATTTTCTTAAATATAAAACTAGGTGTTTGTTATCACAATAAACTCTACGTTTCCGTGAGTTGCCCACTGTCTCCTAATATTTTCCACTCTAGAATGAGAAGGCTAGGGTTGTGGGGAGCTGATTCTATAAACACAGGGATTCTTATCTATTGTTTGCTAAGCCTATGGATGGAGGTAAGAGAGTTAAACCTTTAAGCAAGCAGCCATTTTGACTAAAAATAGAAAAAAAAAAAAAAACTTTGACCAAGGAATCAAAATGAATACACCACTGAAAATGAGTTATTATATGTGACTTTACAATGTTAAACAGGCAAAAAATATGAAGAGATGTAGAAAATGTATCTACTATTATTGCACAACCGCTCCGTAAGAGGCTGCATGATTCAATTTGGGGTGACACAAAAATGAACAAGACAGCCCTTTTCTCCAAGAGTTTATGTGATATTAACCACAAACACACTCATTGAAGGCAAAATGTGGTTTAATCCTATGACAGAGGTACAACACTCTGCAGGAGTCCAGATTATTGATATTTGGAAAGAATGTATGAGAAAAAAATTCACAATTTTCTTTAAAGCATATTGAAGACAGATAGAAGATAAACTAGGATATGGGTTGAGTTGATTTTTTTAACTGAAACCCATAGCTTTTATGATGATCTACTTGTTAATTATTACCAAAACTCCATCCCTTGTCTTTCAGCCCACAGAGATTCACATTTTGCACTGCCTAATGGACATGCCGACATGGATGTGCCACAAACTTGTTAAATGAACACATCCAAGATCAAGCACATCTTCCCCTCTCTGCTAACCTATTCTCCTACTGTCTTTCAAGATTCATTCAGTCTCCCAAGCGAAAAATTCCAAAGACACCTTCTATTTCTTTTTCCATCCTGGAACTGTCTAGTCAAACCATTAGCAAGTCCCGCCATTCTTGCTCAGAAACTTCTCTTGGAATTGTCCCCTCCTCTCCTTCCCAAGTCACTGCCTTTTCTTATTTCAGATTTCCATCAACTCTCATCTGGATTATTACATTTTTTTTCTATCTAATCTTGTTGTATTTGTCTACTCAAGGCCCTCCTCTACACAGCTCCCAAATTAACTTCCTTTTTAAAAAAATCTATTTCCATCATTTATCTGCTTAAAATTTTAGATATCTACATCTTACCTGGAAAACAAAACTCAAACTCCTGGATAGAGCATGAAAGGGCATTTTAAATGTGTCCATAATACACCTTTCCAGCAGCAATTACACATTTCCCCATCTTCAGTCGCATTGACTTTATCACTACTATGGTTTGCCACTGTAGAAAAGTATCCTTCCCTGACCATTGCATATGCTATTTGCTCTGCCTCAAATGTCCTCTTTCCTCTTCTAAGACTGAACATCTTTTCATTCTTCAAGACACATATGAAAAATCACTTTTTCTTTCCCTAACTGAACCTGACAAAATTACTTTCTCCCTGTATCCACAGAGCACATTGTTTCTACCTTTATTTTTGCATTTACTCCCATTTTATTGTAACTTTATCTGTTTATATGTCAGAACTCTTTCAATTGGCAACAAAATTACCAAGGGTAAAGGCTGGATCTCATTGACCTTTTTATCTCCCATGTCTCTAATTAGCCTGGTAAATGGCATGTGTTCAATAAATGAATGACTGATTATCACTATTGGATACTATACAAATAAGTAATTACCCTTTAGGAATAATCGCAATGTAGGCCAAGACTACACAGAATACTTCCTGGAGAAGAGGTAGGAAATAAATCTCACGGAGATTTAGAGATCTATCTGCAAGGAATATTTTGAAAGAAAACGTAACTCTGTCCTCATTAACAGCACAGCTTTGATAGCAAACAATCAACTAACATCCTTAAGGTAGTGTGAAATCAAAACTCTGCTTGTAAAAGAGAAATTAGGGAAATTGGCATTCTAGTCAAGTATTTTCTTCATAGAGGTGGTAAGTGAAGCTTTGGAATAGGATGAGGATATCAAGGGATCAGGTGTAGGGAGAGAAGGCTACATATAGAATCCATGTGGACTCTCAAATTCTTCCTGAAGATGCTACAGTTAAAACATTGCTGTGTCTGAGTATGGGTAGTGTTATGTTTTAGCTTTTACTTAATTCTGTTATGTTATGTCATTGATATTCTCTAATTTGTATGCAATCAAGGAGAAAGCCATTTAGTAGTAAGAATGCTTTCAGCTGATTAAAACTTCCAATTTTTCTGGGCATCCTGTTCAAATAAAGGGCAAATTTGAAGGCAACATCAAAATGCACTACCTTTTCTGTTTTCTGCACTTCTCTTCTTTTCCCTTTCACTTGAGCAAGTAATAATGCAGATTTCAATTACCTGCCAATTCTTGCAATGGTTTTCCTGATGAAGT